TGGATAAGTAATCAATTCAATGAGGATGTTGCAAGATCCTCTCAAACTTCACCTGTCTAGTCCCACACGAACCTGCTCCTCTTCCTAATTTCTTTATGCAGAGTCTTGGTGATACACTTCCCCCAATCTCTGAGCCTGGAGTCTCTGACTCCAACCTCACTACACCATATCCACCCATACTCTGGTATCCTCTTCTATCACCTCCTCTGTGACCCATCTTCTGCCCCTGAGGGTTTAATCATCTCTTCTCCCAGTCCTCCCAGGACTCTAGGCCATTACTCTCACTCCCACCACACCCATGCTATATTCCTTACCTTATTACAGGGGAATATGAGTTATGGTGACCTAACTCACTTCCAAGCACAAGCTTGAAGAACCATCACATGGTTCTCCCTGAATCCTTTCTCTTGCCAAATAATCAGGGATGTTCCACGTGGATGCTCCTTTGTCATCCTGAATTCTCAGAGCGATAATGAGCCTCCATGAAAAGCTCAAGTGAGCCAGAAGTTAACACATACACACCCAATTCTCAGGGGTGTCTTGGTACCACAGGACAATGTTACTTTTCCTGAGTACCCTTTTCTGGGGTACTCAAAGTACCTCAGAGTCTCAGGAGTAACACTGTGTGTGTGACAGTGATAATACACAATGCTTAGCTGAAAGAACAGTTGATGAAGTTTAGAAAAAAATTGACGTTATGCACGGCTACAAATGCGTGAAATTAGACAAAGCCATTTGCCTTTCACCTATTGCTTCAGTTTTCAGAAAACTGCCCAAAGTGATTGCAAACCATTTGCATTTTTGTTGGCTTGGTGGAGGGAGTTGGCAGTATCAAGTGGTTCCTCCTTTAAAGCCACGTCACTGCTTATGTAGGGAGCATAATGATTCAGAGAGAAAGGAGTGTTACAAGGAGACTTCTTAGAATGCTAACAACAAGAGGAGGCAAAAAGGGAATGGGGAGTTGTTTGTAAACAGGAGAAAGGAGGCACCATTGCCCTAGTGTTTTTGACTTTGCGACTTCTTATTTCAAAATTGATTAAAATCCCTGACTGGGTTATACCCTGCTTAGGAAAAAAACATGCACCTTAACTCTGTGCACTAAAGGAGTCCACAAGCTCTTCTCAATAACCTGTGCTCTGGGAATGCTTAATGCTAGAGCTCTGCAAATCCCTTCATCAAAAAAACTCAAAGCATTTGCAAATTATATTAGGAAAGTACATACAGGGTTTTTTTATGAAAAAAATCCAGGTTTACACATCTTATTAGTATTACCAAAGAGTACATCACTTTACAAAGAATGTTCAACTCAATTTTTTTTTAACTACGTGTGTAGTGAGAGCATTTAACAGGTAATTTCATCTTAGAATGTTCCATTTCAACATCTCTCTTATGTAAGTAACTTATAAGGTTAGATTTTGTTCCCCCATCAGAGGATTAAATAGTTAAGGGGAGTGGTTGAGAAACTGCACCCGTTTCCTCCAATTTCCTCAAAATGAACATAGCTTCGTGAAGAAGAATGAAGTGAAGACCAGTGGTTAGGTCGGTGGCTTTTTTTTAAAAAAAAATTCAGCTTTTCTTATTCCAAATTTATCATAAACAATAAAGCCACCAGGAAACCATTAATGGTTGCAAGTTAGAACAGAAAGAAAATTATTTAGGGTGGAAAGAGGGTTCCGTGGTCACCTCTTGGCAACCTCTGCTTCACAGACAGGGAATCTTATCCATGCTAACTGAACCACTGAGTGTCAGGCCCGGACAAACATATCACATCCCATGCACTCAGAGGCTGGTTGGGAAATATTAACTCCAGGGGCAGCCAAATGGCTGTGTACTCCCAGAAAGAACAGTTCCTCAGGGCTGTGTTATTGGGCAAGCCTCTTGGACCTCAGTGCTCTCAGGATCTCTTTCCTTATCTGTTCAACGGGGCTGAATTCTGGCCATCCTGCCCACAAAGCAGATACCATTGGGGGAATCAAATTAGATAAATTCTGTGACACTTCCCCAAGTGATGAAGTATGATGTAAGTGATAATAAGTATGATGTAAGTGATAAGTCCCGATTTGTTGAATACTCATAAGGCACTATGCAAGCATTACTTTAATACCATAAAACTGCTCGGAAGCAGGAACAATATCCCCCTCACTGAACAAGTAACCCATCCAAGGCCTCACTGGTCTGAACCAGCTCCTGATGACACTCAAGCTCCAATATTTAATCACCAGTAGTAGCACTACCTTCCTGCCATACATGATGTCCTGGTCAATGGTAATAATTAGCATTGCATACACAGATAACCAAAGAGCATTAGAGGAGACACTACCCTGTATGAATTTATTAAAACAGCAGAACATTTTTAGTATTTTCATAATTTTTTACAATAAATTAAAATGTCCTTTAAATTTCTTTTAATAATAGAGTTGCATTGTTTTTAACTATTAATTCCCTTCCCTTTTAAAGAATAAATTAATGAGAAAATAATATTATCCAAAACAAGGTTCCAGTTGTGTATGTGTGTGTGTGTGTGTGTGTGTGCTGGGGATGGAACCTCAGGGTCTTGCACATGCTACACAAGTGCTCTACCACTGAGCCACACCATCAGCTCAATCACTTATTTTTTATGTGTCTAATGTTTTTTTTTTCTAAAGTATTCTTCTTACACATGAGAGTATAGTTTTAAAAGGTTGATTTTTTAAATGTTGAATTTGGGTACATTCATTTCTCTTACAGTCTAAGATATATGTGAATTGAAAATTGAAATATTCCTTTCTGATCAGGCTCTATTTTCAACAGCACTTCATCTGGATAACTCAATGAAATAACTTTCTTATGGAATATAAGAATCAGCCTTTGTTTGGGGGTAGACATTTAATTAACTGATTTTCCCATTTGTTTTTGTTTTCAGCAAGTTGTTGCATTTGAAGACAAAGGTCTAGTCTTTTACTATGGAACATGTTGATTTTCTCAAGTCTCAGTTTGGAGGTTAGTGTAAGAGGAAGCTCTAACTAAAAAAAAACTGTCATATTTTTGTTTCAACTATGACTAGGATATGTAAGTCCTTGGTGATCAATTAGCAGTACCTACCTGGTCATTCAATCCTCTCCTCCAGGGATAATGAGGACATCAAGAGTTTTAGTGATTCAAATAGCTTACACTTTGTATTCACCTCCTCCTCATCATCATCAAAAAAAAAAAAAAAAATCCAGTCTAGGGGATCAATATGATAAACAAGTAAACCAGAAGATGGCGTTGAAGGTTAGCAATCACATTTTAAAGAATGTGGCTGTGTAGAGTCTCAGAAAGTTTCATCAAATGACTGTTGTGAACTTCTAAAAACAGAGGATGTGGATAAGTGAGGAAAATATTGAAACTGACTAAGCCCAATGCACAGCACACGTGTGGGAAAGTGCAAAAAGCTCTACTTTGCCATTTTTGTCCTTAGTGATCTCCTTCTGTCTGGTATGTTAGTGCATATTTTGGAAAAAGGTAATTCACTGATGAAAATGTAATGCAACCTGAAGGCAGCAATCTTTGCTTTGTTCACAGAGGTGTTCCAAGTGCCTAATAATAATTCCTAACAAATAGTAGGTACTCAAAAAAATATTTGGTGGGTGAATAATTCTGAAAGAAGAAAGGAAGCAAAACAGGTTATGACCAGAATTTTTTCTTTGAATGAAACCCTGTTGTTTATTACCTAGACTCTGATAATGGAAAACTTACTTGAGTGAAATAAAAACATGCCATCCTGTAAATTTCTGAGAAAGTCTTTTGGTTTTAGAAATAAGCATATCTATCTGTACCTCCCTCCCAGTCTTGCTCTGGCCTAAACTTAGTTTTTGCTTCAGTTAGGAGACATTGACCCAATACATAAGATTAAAAGAAAAACTGAGAAATAAGTGAAATTAAAAGCTTTTCAAAAGTTGCAAGCTGACCTGGAGTGGTGGTGATCTAAAATCATATAGAAAGTGGTGATCTGACGGTTTACCTGAAAATGCTAAGTAAATAAACATGCTCAGCGAATCCAAGACAATCTGGTGAAAGTTCAGTGGGTGAAAGCTCAGGGAGTGAGTTTTGGAAATCAAAGACAGCTTGGAAAATTAAGTAAAAGCCTAGATCCACTTAAATATTACTCTCATTTGGGGTATTTATACCCGACTATTAAACTGCTTTCCACCAGGCTGAGGTTTAAACTTTATCATTTTTATGTGGGTACTTGGATACTTCGGGGACCCCCCCCCCCCCCCCGCATGCTGCCATCTCTTTCATCTTACAGTAATTGAAACTTTGCGGGCCCTGCATGGTCTGAATCACCTCAATTCACCAGTTTAATAGACGAAAAAGTATGCAGGCATTTCAAAGATGTACACAGTATTTGAACCGCGGTTTATGGCTCCAAGGATCCTGGCCATTTCCTATTTTCTTTTAAAAGAGTGCGATGTTCTCTAACACCGCGGAGAGGCAGGGTTCTCCCTTGACAAAGATGCTCCTCCACCCCTCACTCCAGTCTTCAGTAAGTGGACAACCCGGTTACGTGCTCTGAAAACAAAAGTTCTCTTTTCACCAAATTCCTACCACTACACTCCCCCCCACTTCCCGCCCAAGCCACATTGCTGCCGTTTGGTTGTCACTAGTTATTGACGGGACTCGGGGCAGATCCTGGCGGGGAGGTGAGATCCCCATTTCGCGCCTCGCCCTTCGCGGGAAACGGTCCGCAGTGACAGTCCCAGAGATGGGACGCTCCAGGCTCCAAGTGCGCTCTCCGACTAGATGAACAGAGGGTCGCGGAGAGCCACCAGAGTCCCCAACCGGGTCACCAGCTGCCCCTCGCCTCCATCCAGAAGCTGGGGCTCGTCCTCCTGGGCTGCGTCTCCGTTAGCCAGGCGCCCCCCTCCGCGCCGCAGGCGGAGCCTCCCCCGTCCCGCCTCCGCCCCGCCCCCAGCGCGGCTTTCAAGCTCTATAAAGTTCCTCTTTCTCACCTCACTCTCTTAGTTTCACCACTTGAACTTGGGACACACCGCTGCCCTCAGCTCCTAGTACCGGGAGAGGTAAGGACTGGAGTGGGTCAAGAGAAGTGTGAGGCTGTCTTGAGAGGGCAGGGAGCACAAACTAGAAGTCCCGGGTTCCATCTCAAGGCTACGCAGGGGACCCCAGCTTTGGAGGGGGAAGGGAGCGGGGCCAAGTTAGGGAGCTCAGATTCCCACCCCATCTGCACCGGACCCAGGGAGTTTGTACTGCCTGTCCTGCTGCGGGCTCTCTCAGATCCTGGACCCCACTGCCACTTAGCTGGTCAGCCCGACCTGCGCCCTGGAGGTGCCACGCGCGGCACCAGATGAGCTAACGGGACTGTCTGGGATCCAGGAATGGCTGAGGCCGGGCGGTCAAAGGAAACCACACGGAGCAGCAGGCTCCTCCGCGGGAGGACAACCCCTGACCCTATTGGCTCCTTCCCCTGAATCTCATTCTTAAGGGTCCCAAACTCAACTACCGTCAGCGTGTAACTACCGGGCTGATGAGGAAGGAGGAGCTCCAAATTTGGGCAGCTGGGAGGCCTGAGCGTTACCGCCTCAACCCCTGCTCAGTGCACTCCTTCGCTTCCCAGGCACAGGAGCTGGCCTCGCCTTCCCTGGGTCCCTTCTTGTCCCAACTCTCCCTCACTGGTTTGGGTATCATTCTGACTCTCAACGCGCGGGAATCTCCAGCTGCTGGGCTGCGCTCCTCCAATAGTACACATTTGTTGCTCAGAGGGCCCACTTAATCCTGGTTGGCTGAAGAGAGCTAGGGTTATTTAAAGGACAGAGTTAAAGGTTGCGGGAGAAGAGAACCGGGTGGGGGTGTGGAGCGGCGGGAGAAGTAGGTGCTATGCACCTGGAAACCCCAAACACGGGACAGCCACGTGCGAGGTCCTCCGCGCATGGGAACCACCAAGGGAGTGTGAATGGAGTGAAAAAGAGTGGAAACTAATAGTAAAGGGGAAAATGAGATGGTAATGGCTTTGGAGCGAGCAGAGAGGAGCGGAAACGACAGGTGAGCGGGCAAACGCAGTGTCAAGACTGGTGGCAACTGGATTTGGGAGCGTGCGAAAAGTTGTGTACCTGGGGAGCTTTGGGGATGTGAAATGAGTTAAATTAATAGAGTGCTGGAAGGTGGGGTGAGCAGACGGGCTTCACCGAGGGCGCGCTCAGGAAGCCGCAGAACTGTGCGCGCCAAGGGGATGCTCCGGGGCCTGTCGCAAAGGTACCTTCTCTCAGGGTACTTGGGTGACACTGACATTACATGCACGCGCTTCACAGCGTGGTCACTGCCAAAAGGGTTCAGGACTGGGTGTCCGAGCGCTGTGCAGCGGTGACTGAAGGGCAGCTTTCTTCTCCCCTGCAGCGTGGAGCCAGTACGGGAGGCGAATTCTGGGTGAGCTCCAGGGCGGTGGTCGGCAAACTGGGTATGAACCTAGAGGGCGGCGGCCGAGGTGGAGAGTTCGGCATGAGTGCGGTGAGCTGCGGCAACGGGAAACTCCGCCAGTGGCTGATTGACCAAATCGACAGCGGCAAGTACCCGGGGCTTGTGTGGGAGAACGAAGAGAAGAGCATCTTCCGTATCCCGTGGAAGCACGCGGGCAAGCAGGACTATAACCGCGAGGAGGACGCCGCCCTCTTCAAGGTCACCTGAACGCGGGAATCTTGTGGGCAGGCTTGGGGAGGGTGGCAAAGAGGCCAGTTAGTCTTTGGCCCAGACTCCATTGAGAGTCCAGTCAGTGGCCCCAGTGCAGCGGTTTTCAAAGAAAGGGACTGGCAGGGGCGACAGAATGGGATGAGCCCTGCGGGATAAGTGGCTGGAGCTTTGAAGTTCTCAGGTGATTGCTTAAATGGGGAACTTGGCCCCAATCCTGAGCAAGTGGCATGAGCAATTCCCAGGGAGTCGGTCAGAGGGCTCCAGAAGTAGGGATGTCTTTGAAGGAGGCAGCCTTTAGAGGGCTCTGGGTTGCTTCTCTGTGCCTTCCTCTGTTTTCATCCAAATCTCAGGCCCTATCTCCAAATCCCTGTCTCCTTTGGTCAGTGTAAGCCTCTGACTCTGTGCATCTGTGGGTGCTCTTATCTGTCTCCCTGTTTTTCTGTCTCTGTTTCACTTTTTTCTCTCTGAGTTTCTCTGGTTCCCACTCCCCCACCCCTTTGGTCTCTGCTCTCTGGTTCTAGCTGTCTTTGGATGCATCCATCTCTGTTTCTCACTTTCTGTCTCGGGGTATCTCTGTCTGGCTCTTTTATTCTGAGACTCTGGAAAATTCTCTCTCTCTCTCTCTCTCTCTCTCTCCTTCTTTCTGTGTGAGTGCCCCTGTTCATGACTGCTTTCCCCTAGAGCACTTTACTCGGTGAACTGTGAGACCCAGCCCCCACCTGTGGGCAGGGAGGGGAAGGGGACTTCCTCTGGGAATTTGTTCACAGAGTACTTCAGACCTTGTGACTGTCCAGATGTACCCTGTGGGGACTTAATCCTCCACAGCTCTGTCCCTAATATCAGCCACACTAGCTTCTGGGGCCTCCAAGCCTCATCTCACCTTTTATAAACACCCAGAAATGTTGAAACCACTCACCTTCAATTTGACAATGGTAGGGTTCTAGGTGAGAATATTTTACCTGGAGGACACCTGGTGTCATTACCGTTCACATTTTGAGCAACAGTATAAACCTGAAGCACTAAGCACCTTTTTTTTTTTTCTTTTAGAAAGATTCTTTTAAAAAAAAAAAAAAAGAAAGAAAGAAAGAAATTGACTTTTCATTCTCTTCATTCTTTCCCACCAGGCTTGGGCTCTATTTAAAGGAAAGTTCCGAGAAGGCATTGATAAACCAGACCCTCCTACCTGGAAGACACGTTTGCGATGCGCTTTGAACAAGAGCAATGACTTTGAGGAATTGGTTGAGAGGAGCCAGCTGGATATCTCTGACCCATACAAAGTGTACAGGATTGTTCCTGAGGGAGCCAAAAAAGGTAGGGGCTTTCCTGAATTTGGGTCACAGAATAGAGGCAGCCTGATACTTATAATGCCTTAATTCCATTCTGAAGGTCACTTTCTATTTCTGCTTTTATATAGCCTGCTGCCTCCTGTCCCATGGTCAAGCCCAGCAGGCTCCTTCCCCAAGTTCTCTGGGTTATAAGTTGAAAACCTTGTGATGTTACTAAGGGATAATTTCTCAGGCTCTAACCCTGTAACATAATGTGTGTGCTCACACTTCAACTGTGTGTTTACCAATTAGTCCATTCAATTATAGTATGAACCAAATTTCCAAACTTGAAGACCCATTAAAACTTTACTTATCTAATAGACTTTGGTAAGTGGCATTTTCCAGAAAGGAAAGCATATGGAACATCTTAAATTGTTACTGCTTACAGTAATAAAAAGGTCCACTTTTAGAGGATAATATAGTCAGCTGGGGTACTTACTGAGTCAGATTCCTGGACAGTTCTTTTCAAGATTCTGACCAGTGTGTCCGGAGCAGAGCCCAGAAATCTGCAGTTTATACAAATCATGACCCCACCTGGGATATATCTCACCAGAAGAGCCCCTTAGCTGGTCACAAGGCATGTTAGCACATGGATCTCATTTATTTCTCTACCTGTCATAATATGTCAGATCTTGTTGACATCTGTTCAAATAATATGAACTGCCCAAGGGAATTGCTAAAAATGCCTTATTTGTCAACACTGTGTGCTATGCATTCTAAGAACTAAAGCCTCAGGTATTTTTCCAAGATTTGACGTTTAGTTGAATCAGTTCCTTTTTTCACTCTGTACCATTTCTCTTTTCCTCAAACACACAGGAGCAAAGCAGCTCACCCTGGAGGACCCACAGATGACCATGAGCCACCCCTACCCCATGCCGGCATCTTATACCCCACTCCCGGCCCAGGTACAGGGGAGGGCACTAAGCCTCTGGAAGTCCAGCCTGGGTCTGTGTGTTGGCCCCACACAAAGGGGAAGAAACACAAAACAGCAGGACTTCATGTTTTCCTTGACAAGTCCAACAGCTAAACAAATTTCCTTGGTGGCTGAGTGAATGTCTCACCACACAGCCTAGATTACCAGTTAGTTTAAATAGGAGAGCTTGGGTGCATCTTGTCTGTTGGAATGTGCTTCTTCTATTGATTCTCAAATCTTCTGGGAACCAGACCTTTTGTAGTAGTTGAAGATTTTGGAAGTTGTGCTTTATCATGTGAAACCACAGGGCAGCTGATCTCTGTAGGCTTTTCTGATTTGAATTACAGCTCTGTTTTCTTCACTTTGGTGGGTAAAAGAAGGCAAGTTTCCTTGCAGTATTTTTGGTGCCAGTCTTAACCATATGATGAAGCCTTAGATAAATCATCGCTTTACAACACTGTCTTCATTGTGCTTTTTGAACTTCTGTGACTGTTTTCCACCTAGTGTAATGAACAGCTCACTCCAGTCTTTTCGAATGTTAAAATGAATTGGCTGCTGGCCGAAGAAGGGGTTCCCTGAGAGTTTGGGAGGATATAAAAACACCCCCTTTTCCCATGCCAATGTTTTTCATCTTAACTCCTCTTGTGTTCCTTTAGCAGGTTCATAACTACATGATGCCACCCCATGATAGAAGCTGGAGGGATTATGTCCCGGATCAGCCTCACCCAGAAATCCCGTATCAGTGTCCAATGACGTTTGGTCCCCGTAGCCATCACTGGCAAGGCCCAGCTTGTGAAAATGGTAAGGCATGTGCCAGGGCATTTGACAGAAGAGCAGACCTAGACATGTGTCCGTGGGGAATTCCGGGTGGTTGTCCTGAGCAACACCATAGGGCTTTCCCCTTCTCAGAGATTGCTAGAAAGATTTCACGTGTATCAGATAGGAGAGGGGGGGGATTTCTCTGTCCTATAGGATGCTAAGCTCCTCAGAACCAGATTTTTCAGGACCCATGTGGCATAACCCTATGTGGGGCCTTAAATACCCCAGAGATTATTCCAGGCAGCAAAAACTGCCCCCCCACACACTTTTTTAACAGAGAAGATCATGGAAACTCGTAGAATGTAAATAATGTGCCCAAGTCACTCAGTAAGAGTAAAGGGCTGGTGTTCAATGTCAGATATCCTAAGCCCAAATCCAACCTTGTACATAAGACAGGGGAGGTCATATATCAAAATGGTCATCTATATATTTTTAAATTATCTGGTTAATGGGTTAACATTTTTTCATCCTGAGTAACCTTAAGTTTTATTTGTAAAAAAAAGAAAAAAAAAAAAGGGGGGGGGGGGGGAGGGATAGATTCTGGCCATCTTACCTCCTGAATTTTCTCTTAGCTGACTGAGGTCACATAATCTCACTAGTCTGTTTCTGTTTACCCATCTGTAAAGTGGGCATACTACAGTCATGCCCAGATCCTCTCCTCTGCAGGGACACTGGGAGATTACTCTATGTCCCTTGAAGAGTAATTATGTTCGTTGGAGCTGTTCTTGGTATTAAAGATGATAATAAGAAGGGAATGGATAAACACTACAAAAAAACAAACAAACAAACAAAAAAAAACCCTAAAGGGTCTTTACAGGAGCCTGCTTAGTATTGGGTCCCAAAAGATTTGTGTAATTTGGATTAGATGTGTTCCTGTGACTACAGGGGTTCCTTGGGTATCAAAAGTGAAATCTTTCAGCAGAAGCACTCATTAGCTATGTGCAGAGAAAATTTCACAAAGTATGTTCAATGCAGCAAAATACTAGCTTTTAGGAATTTTGAGTTAGTTATTTATGTAGAAGTCATGAGATGGGTCCACACACCGATCCTTTTGTGTTTTCTGGGAATATTTACTCTTTTACAATTTGGTCTTTCCCTCCCTGCTTTTTCAAGCGTGTTCAAGTCATTCTTGGCTTTTGGTACTGAATAAAGTCTGTTGAGTAGCATGTTCTTTAAAGAAAAACTTGGGATTCAATTATATTGGCTTTTTAAGAGTGATATTCAGCAAAGGTTGATTTTTCAAACTGTAAGTGAAGAATCCGCTAACATTAAACTGGTTTCTGAAATTCAGACTTGTATCCAATGCATCAGACTCTGTTGAACTAATAAGCATAGCAACACGAGGCAATGTTTTGAACTGGGCAAAAAAAAAAAAAAATTGGAATGTCTAGACATATTTCTAAGCATGGGTAACAATAATTGAACTGCTAGCATAATTAGGTTCTGTGACATACTCTTTCTCTTTCTCTCTCTCTTTTTTTTCCCTTTGTATCTGTGGTGTTGGGATCTACTCAGTGACAGAGCACTTTACTAATGAGCTACATCCCTATCCCAGCATATTCTTTCTCTATATGTTTTTAATGTGACACATCGCTACTGGGCTGGCAGGAGATGGGTTCAGTTTTCTCATGAACCCAGAAGTAGCTAGTAAAATAAATATGAACTAAACATTTGTTAGTTTTTAATTGGGTCTTTGGTAATCAAAAGAGATTAGGCAGACCTAATCTCTCAGTCAGCAGTGAACTTGCTTTGTGAACAGGGTCAAATCCTTTAATCTCCTTCTGAGCCTCACTTTCCCTGTTTATGAATAAGAGGGAGAGCTCTGAGTTTTCTTCCAAGGCTGTACAATGGCTCATACCTCCTTTGACTTGCTTTTTTTCTATTGGACTTTGGCTTGTCTTTGCCTCATGAGTATGTGCCCTGCATCAGAGGGTGCTTGCTTTGAGCCTGTTGGGTTTGGGTTAGAAGGTGACTCCATTCCATACTCCATTGCACACTCAGGTGGCCTCCTAATTATTGGACTCTGTGTTTAGACATCTGATTTTTATTTGCAAATGCAGGTTGCCAGGTGACAGGAACCTTTTATGCTTGTGCCCCACCTGAGTCCCAGGCTCCTGGAATCCCCATAGAGCCAAGCATAAGGTCTGCTGAAGCCTTGGCGCTCTCAGGTGAGTGCAATGTTGGGTTTTGGAGGCACCTGCAGGAGGCCAGTCTCTGCTGCTGGCTCCACTCACCTTTGGGTAGATTTGGTGGGGATTTAGACATTTGTTTGGGCCCTCTTGAGTCAGGAGTAGGTGTGGACACATGTTATCACCAGACATTGAGGACACTGAAGTGAATAAGGTACATTATTAGAAAGCCAGCTAGCTTGTCGTTCTGATACAGATCCAAACACAGGTTGAATGGAAGCATTTTAATTTCTCCAATGGCACCTCTCCAAATTTCCAGGAATATGCAAATGCTTGTTTTTCTTTACTGAGAGTCCCCTATCAGCTGACATTCTCACAATGTAGAATATTTTCTTAGGAAATATAAAAGCTTCTCATTTCAAAAAGCTGTTAATTTCTTTTATGTTTAGCTGCAAACTTGTTGTCCCTAACTTGCTTCCTGGGGACATTGGTTCTAGCCCCTGGTCTCATGATGTTTCGTATGTCCAGAAGGAATGCATATTTTGGTCTTCCTCTGAACTTTGATAGGACTTCCAAACAAATACGAATTCAATCTGATTTGTAAACTTCCATTTCTAAAGAATTCCTGCACCACAGAGAGTGTAGCTATTTAAGGAAGATGCTTCATGACTCTTTGTCTATGTTCATTCATTCTTTAGATAATATTTTAATTGTTTTTAAATGGAATTTGTACTTACATTAAAAATAAATAGCTTAAGCTTCAGAGTTCTCACCTTGCCCTCTGACATCTTTAAAAGTCAGTGACAGAAAATACAAACTAACTTCTAAAGATTCAGGAGACCAGAGTTGAGGCGCTTTCCTTGTTCACAGAAAAGCTGCAGTGTTACTGTCTAGTTCCTTGCAGTTCTGAAGTTCTCAGGGAGGTGTGTGCCTTTCTTCTGAGATGCTCATGAATAACTGAGGATCCCCTTTAGGAGGAGCCAGTTCTAAGCAGCAAGAGTTGTATTTGTTTTTAGAGTCTTTCAAAAATTTTTTTCTGAGCACCTCAGACTTGTGTGGGTGCCTGAGGAGTAGGAAATAAACAGCTATTTATATCTCTGCAACCTCGTGATTTCTGATGACATTAAATGAAATGAAACCTGCCCTGCCAGTCACCTCCAATGGCCAACACCCACTCTCATCCGTGCACCACCTTACTCAGTCTGTTTACAGTGGCAGAAATTGAAGAGACAGTGACGTGGGTTAAGAATCAAAATCTACCTTTGAGGAATAAGAGGGTTTTGTGGGTTCCTTTTTTTTTTTCTTGGTATGCATAATACAGATTAATGATCAACCTTGAATACATTTATCAGAGAACTATGATTCCCAGTCATTGTTAAATCCCAGGCAGTCACCTCTGGATAGCTGTCCCCTGCCTGGGTTGCCCTCTTATATTTTATTTAAGGAACTCTTTGCAAAACTAACTGGGTTCTTTAACCTTTTGAGTGGTGTTCTAAAGAGGGTTCTGAAAGCAGTAAAACTTTTGTAAATGAATTAATTTTTTAGTTTCAAAAAGCACAGATTTAGAGTTCTTTTTTTAAAAATGCAAAGATTAGGGGAATTTAAGCAGATTTTACATTAACTGTTGGCTCTTAGAGAATTTTTTTTTCATTGATTCCTTTGAAAAAAAATTGCTGTGCAGGGGATTGAATCCAGGGCCTTGGGCAAGTGCTGTACCACTGAGCTACCTCCCCAGCCTAGATTCTTTTTTTTTTCCATAAGAATTAATTTTATGATAAAAGAAGTACATACCCACTGTAGAAAACTAATTTCAAGATTAGAAAAACAAAAAAAGAAAATGAAAATCACTTTCTATCACTTAGGAATCACTACACTTAGGGCCTTCCTGCTGATGCTTCAAAGTGTCTATGTATGTATATTTACCTAAAAAATGTTATATTAATAATTTAGGAAGTTTCAGATGTTGGATGTAATTGCTTTTTTTTTTTAATTCACACACACACACACACACTCACAAACAAACATTTGTTTGTTTTTTGCTAGTAGAAATTAAACATATTGTTCAACTCCTCCAAAGTCAAAATTGATTTACTTAAAGATGAATTCTCTTTCAGTGACACATGACTCAGTATTTTAGATGTAAACATGGTCATCAGTATCATAATCAACTTCATCTAAAAAACATGACTTTGTAAGTCTTTCTTTTAAGATATTTTAATTTTTGTGGTTCTGGCAATTGACCCTAGGGTCTCTCTCAAATGCTAAGCAACCTGAGCTGCATCACCAGCCTAGAATTTGTAACTTCATAACAGAGAGGCTTTCAGCTATCACTTAAACATATTTTGCAGAAAATTAATGAAGGATATGCTCCTCCAGCTCTTGAAATAAAAAAGAATCCATGGCCACATATATTTGGAAGCTGCTGGGTTAGACAAATTAAATAGGTGTCTTCTGAGGGCTCCTCTAAGTAAAACATGCTCACGGGGGAATCTTCAGCAATGAGAGAAAGACATGCAGCATTTCCTAGATATTCTTGACCCTGAAATATACTTGTTCATGGTACATCTGGGGACACTCATATTCTACCCAATATGCTTTGTTTGGGGCAAGTCGAGTGGTGGGTCTGATAGCACTGACTCCTGAGCTCTGTGTTTGCAGACTGTCGACTGCATATCTGCCTGTACTACCGGGAAATCCTGGTAAAGGAGCTGACCACATCTAGCCCTGAAGGCTGCAGGATCTCCCATGGACACACCTACGATGCCAGCAACCTGGACCAGGTCCTGTTCCCCTACCCAGAGGACAATGGGCAGAGGAAGAACATTGAGAAGCTGCTGAGCCACCTGGAGAGGGGTGTGGTCCTCTGGATGGCTCCAGATGGACTTTATGCCAAAAGACTATGCCAGAGCAGGATCTACTGGGACGGGCCCCTGGCACTGTGTAGCGACCGGCCCAACAAACTGGAGAGAGATCAGACCTGCAAGCTCTTTGACACGCAGCAGTTTCTGTCAGGTAATGCACTTTATGTCTTCTAGAATGGAGGTAGTGGTGGCATGTGACCGCAGGAGTCAGAAATGACAGGTGCCTCCTACCCCAAGCAGAGTTCTTCCTGTTAGCCCCAGAGCCCAGTGGGCTTTGTTCCAGAATAGGTTACTTGACTGGTTCACAGGTCATCTCTGCCTCTATCATCTGTTCCCCTCATTGTCAAAGAATGTCTGGATGAGAAGGCCCAGGTGGACCGTGGCTCAGGCTGATATCTCAGGGTTTTGGTTTTCAAAAGTAGTCACCTCTTAACAAGGTTCCGTTTTGGGGGGCTGGGTGATCTTAACAAGCTTAATTGGTGATGTTTCCGGGTTCCTAGAAAAAACTGTGAAGGTTAGAAGCATACTGTTCTTGGTTATGAGATGTCTCATCCTTAAGCACATGCCACCCTGCAGGTGGGACCAAGGATAGGAGTGTACTGAATTGATTTGTCAAGGGGGAAATGATGGGAAGGTTTTGTATTTTCTCTGTCCCATGAGTGTTTCTAATCATATTTTCCAGAACCAGTGTGTTTTCTTTTCCTAGTTTTGATTTCATGTCAGTTAAAATAGCCCTGGGTGGATTTTTGGGAAATCATTGAACATGTCATTGTGGGGGCCTCATACAGTGTTCTATTTGTTGTCTAGATGGAGGATGCTTTGGGGACAGAAGGGCTGCTCTGCTTGCCAACTCCTTGCTGGTTCTTACCTTATCTTAAACTTATTCTTCCACTAGGCCCCCCTTTCAAAATACCTCCTGTCTTTGTTTTTTAAAGTGCCTCTTCCTTTTCACCAAGCATATTCCTCTGCCTGGCCCACTGTTTTGAAATATGTTCACATTGTAAAATGGCTAAATTGAGCCAATTTACATAGACAGTACCTCACATATCTGTCATTTTTTGGTGGTGCGAACTCTTCTTAAAACTTCAGGTATATTATATACTTGAAAATAGTTGAACTCAGAAAAGTGTAGAGTTCAGCTACCATAATTAACTGTTGTCATGGTGCTATACGATGAACCTCTTGAATTTAGGGCTCCTAACTGAAATTTTGTGTCCTTTTACCTCCATCTCTCTCCCCTCCCCCAGCTTCTGAACCACAATTCTACTCTTTACTCCTGTAAGTTCAGCTATTTTGGGTTCTACATATAGGTGAGGTCATGTGGTTCTTGGTCTTATCTGTTCCCGGCTTATTTCACTTAATATATCCTCCAGGCATATCCATGTTGTCACAAATGACAGGATTTTATTCTTTTTTTTAATGCTTGAACAGTATTCTTTTGTATAAGTATGCCACATTTTCTCTATCCATCTGCTGTTGGACAGGTCATTCCCTATCTTGACTATTATGAATAATCTGCAGTGAATATAGGAGCATAGATGTCTCTTCAACATACTAATTTCATTCCTTTGGATATTATTCAGAAGTAGTGGATTGCCAAATGCTGAACCTGCCTCTTGAAAAAAAAATATACATATGTATATATAATGTATATGTAATTTATATAAAAATATATATGTAAAGACATATAAATATATTAAAATATAAATATATTAAAATTTACATATGTATATATATATATATATGTCATCTATGTGCCATTTACATGAACTTTCTGTTAAAGAGGCCCAAATTTGTATAAACCCATCCAAATTATTTTTTGGTACCCAAAACAAATATATCCCTAGGTAATCACCCTTCCCACAGAGGTGGGACACAAGGAAGAGGAAGCACCATCTCTGGTTGTCTGAGGTAGCTGTAGGATGATGAAGAAGACACATGAGGTTGGGATACCCCTTGATCTAAGAGCAGAAATGTCTCCAGGCTGGACCATCCTCACTGTCTTGGGTCTGGCATGGTATTCATGGTGACAGGCAGGGGAAATACAATGAGCCTCTGACAGGCACCTGTCTATATCTCTTATGTCTATCTTGTAGTCTGAAGGGTCATGTACCCTGGAAGGCTGGTGCTCCCTAGGTTGGTTTTCCTAAGAGATTGCAGATCTTGGCATCTTTAGATTCAGAGGTTACTCCAGGGTGAGGGCTTTCTAATTAAGGCATCCTGGAAAAAAATGGCACTTGCTTCTCTCAGTTCCTCTTGCCATGCCTGTTTTAGGGAGGTGGAATGTCTTCACTGTGAGCTGTAAGGTACACTTTGAGTCAGAGCTGACAGGTGAGAGGTAGCCACAGATAAGAAGCTGGAGCAAGAGTCGAGTGGGTGTCCTGAGGATGTGAATTTTCTTGCCTAGAATTTCATATTTCATATTTATCTGTGAGCAAGAATCGTTCTTTTTTTTTTTTAATTTTTTTGTCTTCCTTTGTAACAGAAGCCTGTGCTTTTTGTCCACTGCAACCTCTGAGGTTCACTGAGGTTCAGGAAGGATGCTGTGAACTTTAAAACTGCAGCTGTGCAGACCAGCTTCTGCATAATTAAGGATTCCCAGTGAACATTCTTGTATTAGCAATCATTTGAGGCATGACTTTTTCAGAGAATTGTGCCAACTTGCTACTCTGATTAACTTGTGTAGGTGTGCTCCCAGGCCACAACAGTGTGAATGTGTTTTACACATTCTGACTAAGTCAGTTGAGTTTGATTAGAATTCTGGAAGAAGAAAGGGGGAAAAAACAGAGCAGGAAGTTAAAATAGTTGTGTGAGTTAGCTAGAAACCTTAGTTGCAGAGAGCAGTGGAAATCTTTGATATCTACCCATTCAGGATTTGTACCCTGCTTAGGGACAGTCCCGAAAGGCATGGCCTAAGGGTGTGTATCTGATAAGGATGCATTGCTTTGCTGCTCTGCAGAAGCCTTAACAGCTCCTGTGTAAATTTACTTCTTTTTTTTTTTTTTCAGACATGACATTAAACTCTAGAGTTTTTCTTTGAGTCTGGGTAAGGGGAAAAGAGTTAATGCCAGGGACTGGATGATTTGACGCATGTCTTTCTTTTCTTTTTTAAAAATTCTTCATTTAATTTTTTTTTTTTTTGGCTGAGTTGGGGATCAAACTCAGGCCCTTGTACATGCTAGGCAAGTGCTCTACCACTGAGCTACACCCCAACCCTGGACACATGTCTTTCCAACAGTGTTCCTATCTGTTTTATATTGTTCCGATAAGAGCAGTGGCTTCAGGATATGTATATCCACAAGAGGGGCAGCCAGTGGAACATCATCATGCCCTTTTCAAGTCATCATTCTGTTCTCAAGGTGTCCTCAAGTCTGCTCAGAGTTCCACAGTTTGGGGTTCACACCTAGTGCCAAGTGGGACAAGCTGCTGTTAGCAAGTGTCTGAGCCACGGAGATGTCACCAGTAGCACAGACACTGGATTAATGTCTCTTTCATAGTCAAGGCATGAGTTTTTAAAATAATTCTGGGATGTTGAAACATTCTGATTTTTTTTAAAAAATGAAACTGTCATCTTTGTATAAGACATTATTCTTTTGCTTCAACATGACATTTCATTTTCATGACATTTCATTTTCTTCTTCACCCTCTTTCTCTCCTCTCTTCAATCACTTGCATCCTGATGGGTTTGGTGCTGCACAGCAATGATCTTCAGCTTAGGCCATATTCCCCTGAAAAGAATGGAGGAAAAATGACGAAACACACACATATATGAACTTGTACATGTGATTTTGTTTCTGGAGTCTGCATGATAAGGGACCCTATTTAGGGAAATGAAGAGTGACTGTTCTTCTCATAGTGAAGAATCACAGAAAGCCCTTACTTCCTGTTTAACCTGGTTTGCTTTTGTGGGTTTCCTCAGAGCTGCAAGCATTCGCACACCATGGCCGTCCCCTGCCAAGATTCCAAGTGACCCTGTGCTTCGGGGAGGAGTTTCCAGACCCTCAGAGGCAAAGGAAGCTCATCACGGCTCACGTGAGTCTGCAGTTACATCATCATTGAATCGAGTTTTCCTGTTCTTGAGGGCAAAGTGCTACTTAGAGAAATCTGAAAAGTAAATGTCAAACCACCTGGGAAAATAAGTGGAACCCTTAAAATAGAGGAGGAAGCATGGTCCAGTGCACAGCAAAGCCCAAGGAACCACGTGCTGTTTCCACCCTTGAGACCCACTCATCACAGAACCAGGGCACAAAGCTCAGACCAAGGGCTCCACTTGTCCCATCTTTTTTTTTTTCTCTTTCTTTTTCAAATTGTCATACTCTCATTTTATAGGGATTTTAAAGTATTGATACTCAAAGTTGCCCTTCAAAATTCTCCATGCCTAATAGGACTTTAAAAATACTGCCAGGTTAGTGGATCTTCCCTAGAGAGAGAAATTTTTCTCCATTTAGGAAGCTTTCTTTCATTTGTGTATCTTTTAAATTTTACTCATTTAGGTCCCAGAGATTGAACCCAGGGGCACTTAACCACTGAGACACATGCCCAGCCCTTTTTTAAAAAATATGTTTTATTTTGAGATAGGTCTCACTATAAGTTGTTTAGGGCTTCATTAAGTTACTGAGGCTGGCTTTGAACTCACAATCCTGCCTCAGCCTTACAAGCTACTGGGATTACAGGCGTGGGCCACCATGACGGACTTCATTTGTGTATTTTGTAGGTCCCCTCCAAATGTTGCCCAAGCCCCTTTACTTCTAGATTTTGGGGGAATTATTTGATTATGAATATGTGCTATTTGAAAGAGGGTATATCTTTCAAGAAGTCCAAGTAGATTGATCCCTTTTTATGGGATCACAGCAAGAGGAGTGTCACTGTGGCAAGTAAACATTGTTTCATAAAAAAAGAACACAGGTTTATATAGATAGCATTTAACATTCATTCATCATAGAAAACCATCTTGAATACTAAGATGCTTGAATATGAAAACTTACATTACTACACACCCAGATATTACCAGGAAAAATGTTACATTCCACAATACCAATTCAGATGAAATTTTTAGCTCTGAGATGATATTTTGTATTGAAAATTGAGGGCTCTGGGTGTAGCTCACTGGTAGAGAGCTTGCCTAGCATGTACAAGGCATTGGGTTTGATCCTCAGTACTGAAAAAGAAATTGAAGTAAAACACCTCTAATCCTGAACATATGAATCTCCCTTCTTGATTGTAAAACCCAACCAACTAACCAAAATATAAGCCCATAGACTTTAGAATTTTCTCCTGAATTATCTCCAGTGATTGATATGCTAATGATAGAATCACTAATATCTCTTGTTTTCAATAGAGAGTGTTAATAAATAAATAAGTAAACCTGGTCTTGATAAGCAACATTTAAAGAGTAGATGTTAAAATACTACATGGATCTGATTTGCAGGATGTATGAAGGGAATGGCCTAGAGTAGGTGGTTGCTCAGGCAAGACACCCCTCAAAATGGTACTGTATGACCCATAAAGGGAAGATATACATGAATCTACTTTTTGATTATGGACTTAATTCATTTCAGTTACTTACAAAGGAGTTATGCAAGTGACTGTATAGCAAATATCAAAATGGTTCAACTTAATAGAAAATAGCAAAATTGATGAGAGCTTTCATCTTGTCTTAAATTCTATAAAGTCAGGAAAAGCTGACTATTGACTTTGGTTCTGGTGAATATGATTCACACTAATAACCAAACTATGTCAATCTGGGGCAAATTAGCCTCTCTTTTCCCATAAAGGCAGTCTGCGGCTGTTGTTTTTGTTGTTGTTGTTGTTGTTTTCCTTTACCTTTGGTTTAGAATTATTCAAAATGAAATCTTAAGTCATTCAGAATAATCCCTTCACACTGTCAAAGAGCAATGGTGGAAAAACAAATTCACTAGCTTACATTATCCTGAAATTTACCTGACTTATTAATTTGATTATTTTGTCAGATAATATACATTCTTAAATGTAAATCTGTAAATTGCAAGTGTAGTTGATTCGAAAGTACCATCTTTAACTTTAGTCTCAATTGAAACCCAGAACTAAGTAGATTCTGTTTACATGTTGCTCTATATAAGAACTAACAAAAATTCAGATAGCTCCAAATATGAAATGCTTTGATGTGTTATAGCATATAACTTTAGACTTATTTAGAATTTAACCATTAGGATTTGAGTGTTATTTCATGATAAGCCAATTGCATGATGTTAAAACGAATATCTCAGTAATATTTTTTAAAATATCTTATTAGGTGGAACCTCTGCTAGCCAGACAACTATATTATTTTGCTCAACAAAACAGTGGACATTTCCTAAGGGGCTACGATTTACCAGAACACATTAGCAGTCCAGAGGATTACCACAGATCTATCCGACATTCCTCCATCCAAGAGTGAAAAAACTGTCAAAACAACTAAGTTTGTTTCATGATAAGTACCAAGCTTTGACAAGGACAGCTAATTGACCACCCTCTTCTTCTTTTGAGCTCATCAAGAATATGTACAGCAACCCAGCAGTATCTGATTGACAGATGCACTTATGCATCTACCAGATCAAGCAGATTTTTCCTGTGTTTCTATTGACTGTCATCATTGGCAATAACTGTGAAAATTACCAAGTAATGTGTTTACATTTACTTCAATGCTGGGTTACTTCTTACTTGAAGACTGAGAAAACTTGTATTTCAGCATCGAACTACCAATTCTTGTGAGAAAAGCACTTAAGTGCTCTATCATTTCTCAGGGAAATAAAGTCTAAATTAGAGACTACTCTAACCGATCCCCCCCCCCCCCCCCCCCCCCCCCCCCCCCCCGCAAGAAGTGTATTCATGTGTGCAGTAGCTGTAATTCTCATGGGAAATGATTGCTGAATGAATGGACCAGAATCTTGGCCTGAGGCTGAGCCATAGTGCTCCGGGCTGACCCATCTCCCCATCTGTGTGGGGTCTTCTCAGGGTGGGCCCTGGGGTCTTCTCAGGGTGGGCTCCACCCTGCATCACATTTGCTTCCTCTCCTGGCTTCCCCTGGAAGCCAGTTGGTAGTCTCTGTTGCCATTTTCTTGAGCCAAAAAGCATTAGGGCTACTCTTGGATGGGAGATTTTTGTCTGTCCTACATTCTAGTAATAATGACTGATTACATTTTTTTTTCAGTTTGTCTTTTTATTCTTTGTATTTCATTCTTTTGAAATTGCTAAACATTTTTCTTAAAGAAGAAGAAAAAAGGCAGACTATTAATAATCTGAGTGCCAAAAAGAATACATTTTCAAAGCTCCATGACATTTCCCCTCTTTTGTTTGTTTTGTTTGTCTCTTGGATGGTATCCATGGTGATACTAAGGAGGAGGAGCCAGTGGCCCAGGTTGTGAACTTGTCAGGACACCCGACCAACTGATTGCATAACTGCAGACTCAGTGGGCTGTTTCTGCTTATTTTGTGTATTAGATGCTTCCTCATGCCAACAGTAGTTTGACAAGGCCTTAAAATCACTGAGCTTTTTCTAAATACTTTTTTTTAAGTGAGAATTCCAAAGATCCCCACTTGCTTTTGCAAACCTCACTCCTTACTTTCTTGCTTTTTCATTAGACTGGAGTGCTCCCATATTTTTTTTCCTCCTTCTACAAAATAATTGCTTTTATTTCCAGGCTCAGAGTTGATAGTTCTCAAATAATGTGCCAATCCTCCCCTAATGTTTAGTCTTTTAATTCATTCAACAACATATTAAATGCCTGCTGTATCCCTTGTGTTACACAGATTATAGCATTTATCAAGTTCAGGAAGCAATCAAGTATTGGGGTGCATTTTTAAAAATTTTTACAAAAGGGATTTTTAGTACTAAAATGATACATATTAACTACAGAAAATGTGAGCAATCTAGAAGAAGAAAAAACAAAAGCTTTTTTTTTTTTCAAACCAAATCCCCCTCCCTAGAAGCAGCCACAAAGAAGAATTCAATTTATTCTTCCAACACACTTCAGTTTTCTATAAGTATACATAAACTTAAGAATCGTTGTGGGATTCCAGTGCAATGTCCTCAGTTTGGTTTAAGATATCTCAGTAGCCCCACAGCAAGGATTTGTTGGTCAGCCAATATAGGCTCCACAAACTGCAGCAATTTATACATCTCATAGATGCATAGTATTTTGGGATATATTATCCTAGGAGGATAGGAAATAAAATTAGAAACTGCTGTTTTCCAGGGCACCCAGCCTGTGGTCTTGCTCACTGGATGATATTTAACCCACTGCACCTCCCTGAAGCTCCTTAGAGTCTCTCTCAAGTGAAGTAGATACTGGATTTTTAATTACTGTGTGAAATATATATAGTTCATATATATGTGTGTGTGTGTGTCTGCTTTAACAGGGGAGTTGCATTTTCTGGAAAATGCTTGTTGGCTCAGGCAATGATCTCCAATCTCATCTTTATGTCCAGGTGTGTGTCCTTTTAATCTTGAGGGGATCTATAGGAAGTGAACTATGAAGTGACCAATCAGGTGAAGAATCCTGACAATTGTCTCAGGCCTTTGGAAATGAATGGCTTCCTCATTTCTTGTCTCCATAAAGTGGATTCACAGACTAGAATTTAGTTTGTCCTCAGTGGGAAGACCCTGTTAAAGGGTTCAGATACTTGTCGTGTGCTAAAGAGCACTGGATTGCAGAGTAAGAAATCTTCAGGTACCATTGGTGCATGTTTGTAGCGTATTTCTTGTTCTTGGGTGTCATTTGTTTAGTAAAACTTCGGGACAGTGTGTTCTGGAACACTATGGAGAACCAAGTGAACGACTCCTTTAAAACAGAAACCTTGAACCATTCTCTCTGTGTTTGGATAGAAGTGGGTCCTGGACTAAGGCACAAATGAGGATTCCTTGCCATGCCGTGTCATTGGGTATGAACCCCAGCATCGGGGGATTCTGGGAACCTTAGGTGCCCGCACATTCCGCATTGGTTAATGTGCTGCACCTGGAAGAGAAATTATTATTATTATTTGGTATTAGTTACTGTTTTAGTAAAAATCCAGCCGTGTTTTAAATCCCTTTTTATTCCTTTCCAATGACAGTCTTTCCCTTCCCCACCAGCAATTGCTTTACTGATATAGTGAGATTTCTTAAGATCTCTATTTTTATCACCTATCTCCCTAAATTATTTGTAGCTGGCTGCATCCATTTTAAAGTTGCAATAAGGCTACCATACTATTCGCACTTACTGTGCCATACTTATCATATGGCTAGTTGCTTCTTCGCCTGGCCCAGGAATCAAGCCTTGTGGATATAGGTTTTGGATCTCCATTTCTTTTTTGTATTGCAGACTAGTCTGTGATGTGAATGCAGTAAAGGTCAATTTTCCTGGTATTTATTTTCACTGCTTTATGGAATATGTGCATGAATGTAGTGGAAATGTAGGGGAAGAGAAGGGAGATGTGGAGGAGAAAAGAAAAGATCAAGAGTTATTCCTTCTCTAAGGGATATACCATATTTCTGTAAATATATTTCATGAATTTTTATGTAAATTTCCTTTTTAAAAATATTGATGTGTATGATAATAAGTGGTCAATAAATAAAGACTTTTTAAAAAAATCTGCTATGGAACATGTGTGTTATTAATACTCATCAAGACAGCTCTTTAAATACTTCCTTCTTCTGTTAGGTCTTTTCAGTAAGGCTGTTTCAGCAGCCTACTTCCTTCCTGGTAGTTGTATGTGTCCCTGAAATCAGATCTCAAAGTGCTCCGCTTGTTAAAAAAAAAAAAAAAAGCTATAGGTTTTAAATCACACTTTGCCTGCCTGCCTTGCATCTGCTTCCTCTTCCCTATACCTATATTTTTAAGGGTCCAGTAGGACCCAGAAATTTGTTTTTTGTTTCCTTTTATATTCAAAACTCCTCTGATTTTTTTTTGTTGTTATTGTTGTTCTTAAAGGGGAAGACATATAGATTAACCACTGTTTGTGGGTAAAGGCTCTGGGAGTACATGGAGTACCTTGGGGGGTCCTTTTAGCTCAGATCCAATTTCTTCTGCTCTGAGCAGCTGGGCATGGGAGTCTCCTTTCTTGGCTTTATTGTTCATTACTTATGTGGCTGGGCCCCTCTGGACTCACTAACTTTCAGTCTAACAGGAAGACTGCCAAGCAGCAAGGCTGCAGCCCGAGCATGGTGACACATGTCTGTAATCCTAGCCACTCAAGAGATAGAATCAGGAAGATCACAAGTTCGAGGCCAGCCTCAAGCAATTTAGCAAGAGCCCCAGCACCATAGTGAGACCCTGTCTCAAAATAACAAAAATAAAAGGGCTGGGATGTAGCCCATTGGTAAAATACCCATGGATTCAATCACCAGTATCATTTAAAAAAAAAAAAAATACTAGTTGAAGATCACATGGAGTTGTCAGAGAATTTATAGATTGGACATAGGATAATTTTGAATATTGGGATAATTTTGAATTTGCTAAATGGTAATCAAAAAGAAATAATGAAAAATAAACTATTACACTACTTTGGGGGGCTCTATTTTCTCCACAAATATGGATGACTCAAGTCAGTATACATGGGAGATATTTTTTCAAATAATATATTGACTGCTTACTAGTATCTAAAAAAGTGTCTCAAAGGGATTTTGAACCCTTGAGCTTCTTCTTAAGTAATTTATGCCTCTTTAGGGTACCAGTGTTTTCCACCTTTCTTTATAGTGCCAGTTTGTGTTGTATTCAATCTTCTACAAGTGGTTGTTACCATGACAATTCAATACATTTATATCAAGCACATGGGCAATGCTCATCTATGCCAGAAAAACACTGAGGGTTGGTACCTCATTTTTTTTCCTAGGACAGGTTATACCTAAATTAACCCAGCATAATAGATAGCCTCTAAATCAGTATCGATTAATTATATGGTATTTGAGAGCATCCAGGGTATTACTTTCCTTAAACTCTGGCTCCACCAGTCTGACCATGTATGGGCAAATGGCTGTCCTCAAGATGTCCTCAGAAGCAGTCCCCTCCCCTCCCCTGGGAGACTTCCCCTGCTGCTATCTGCTCACCTGGCTAGTGCCCTCATCTATGAAGTCTCAGCTGATATGTCCACTCTTTCTAGAAGCATCTCTTCACTTCTCATGCATGCACTCTATGAAGAATGACATTTCTTTTTTTTTTTAATTTTTTTTTATTGGTTGTTCAAAACATTATAAAGCTATTGACATATCATATTTCATACAATAGATTCAAGTTGGTTATGAACTCCCAATTTTACCCCAAATACAGATTGCAGAATCACATCGGTTACACATCCACATTTTTACATAATGCCCTATTAGTAACTGTTGTATTCTGCTACCTTTGAAGAATGACATTTCTGAGGCATCAAGAAATAATTTCCCCACTCTGTCCACCCCTACACTTCCTCCCCATGCATTTGGGCCTTTGGGGCCCAGGCATCAAATATTGTGCCCACCTGGTCTCCTTCCTGAGACTAGAGAAACAGTCTGGGGAGAGCAGAGGAGAGAAGAGAAATCTTCACAAGTCATGAGTGAGAAAGTTCTAGCATCTCCCTATTAATAGGGGGATCGTCATTGATTCCAGGGAAAAGACTTGGGGGACAGTGAACCTGAGAAAAATTTGTTGGAAGGAATGGTGAGAAACACAGGTTATGAAGGGGACAGGCACAGAAGACTGATGGGTGACCCCATTGGTTGCTCAGGTGGACCAATGAGTATTACATGGAGTGACCCTGGGAGTGAGGTCTGAGTACAGACAGAATGGAGGGGAAGATCTCTCCAAAATAAAGGTG